CCTTGGAATCTCTGTTTATGCCAGAGATGCCAGTTACTGGATGAACTGGCTTGTCACACCAACATACATCAGAGCATCCCAGTCTTCTCTCTACTGGGTTTCTTAGCCCCTAGGTCATATTTCCTAGAGAGGGGACTCAGTCTCCAGTCTGCTACAAGGTTGTGCAAAACTGAATGGGCAGGTTGGCTCCAGGTGCATACCGGAATCATCAGGAAGTAAGGAATACACCAAGGAAGGGCATTCTGGCAGGATCAATCCTTCCAGGATACTTGTGGGCCAAGACTAGTGGAAGCAGGACAGGCTCCCAGGAACATGATACATAGGTGTGGACCCCATGCTCACAATTCCAGAATCACCAGACCTATGTACAATGAGAGGCTTTGAGCGCTGCAAGAATAGTTCAAATGAATACACAACAATTTGTATCACAGGTTCTGCAAACAAGCCATTCAGCCCTAACTTCTTCCCAGCCATGCTGAGCTGTTGTGCTTTCACGAGGAATTCAGTGCAGAAGCACAGCAGTTTGCCAAAGGACCATCCAGCACTAATGGTGTGCTTTGGCTGGTGCACAGTTCATCCAAATGCTGGTCCAGGTGCAAGACCTGGACCTGCCTTCTCTGGGTGGGCTGAGAGAGGCCATGGTGGAGTGTGGGGGCAGGCTATGTCCCACCTCCTCACTTTTCCACTGAATGGCAGCTGACACTCCCTAAGACCTTTCTCAGCTGATCCTGGAACTTTCAAGGTGGCTGAAGGAAGCACTTTGTCTAGGAGGATGGCAGATATTGCAGGGAAATCTGTCGTCTGCCTGAAATCAGGGAACAGTGAGGCATCAGTGAAGGTGGAACTGGGAGCAAGGAGACCACACTGGGCATCAAGGGGCTGAGGACAAGGACTTTTTGGGTGTGTAGGTCTTGAGACCTTTGAAGCTGCACTTACGGCCATGCCCTTCTGCTGAGGATCTCAGAGTTGAGGTACCCAGGTAATCACGTACCATAGCTGCTGTCTATAAGTGACCCAGGTGGGGCAGAGTCCTGAGAGGTCCGAGGTCTTCCTGGACTTTGTGTGGCAGGAGCAAGGCAGGCTGTGCTGCTGAATTGTGGTGCTGCTCTGGACCTCAGGAGCATTCAGAGGGAATGTGACTGTTCACATGGAGTGCTTCTGCAAAAAGATCCCAGGAAGGCACACCAAATCCACAGACAGAAATATAATGTGGCTCTGCAGGTCTGTGTTACCAGTCCTGGACCCTGTGGCTGGAGGGCTTGTGAGAGCATCCTGGGGTGCAGTTCAGGCTTGAGACACACCCTGGGTGGTCTGGAAGATGGCACCAAAACCCTTCCTTGCCCAATCACCGTACCCTCATCCTGGATTGCACCTTCAGGATTTCTTCCAGGCTTGTGCCTGCTCACTTCTGCCCAGGCAGCCCACTCTCCCTTGTCACAGAGGCCACAGCAGCACTAGCAGACCCCATGCTTTTTTATGCTCCTTGATGGTACTCCCTTCATTGCCTATTTACAAAAGTTTCCCTTCTACATGGGGTTGTTAGGAATATAAGGGTGTCATCCCATTGTCATAAAACAGTGTATGGGCATACAGACACAGATAGCTCAGAAAACATAAACCTGAGACTGGTGCTCTAAATGAACACTGGCACAAATCCTGATGCTCCAGCCTCTGAAACAGCCCTGGGTCAAGAATGTACTCAGCACAGTACACATGCTTTCTCACTTTACTTTCCTCTTTTAACTCACTCTGCCTTTCTCCTTCTGTTCTTCATTCTTTCAATCCTGAATCTCCCAGCTGATTTCGCTGACTTCCATTCAGGCTCCTGGTCTTCTACCACAGCAGGCCCGTGACTTCAAATTCCAGCGAAGGTTGTCACTGTTGGCCTTAATGCCAGTGAGGTAAAGCAGTAGCTCATCCTCAGCCGGATTACACTGGTTACACCTGATTGTGAACTTGCCAGGCAAATACACTTGTCTTCTCTTTACCCTTCCTCTTTTGTAGGGGTTGAGCTTGTGGAGAGAAACACTCCTAATGAATTGTGCATGTATCATGTGAATGTGCAGCCCATTTCAAGGACACTCTTGTGGGTAGTGCGGGGACCACTGTACCCAAATGCCCATGGTTCAGTCCAAAGTCTACTCCCACTCTCCTCCATCCCCAAGAGTGTAACAAATGAGCACCACAGAGTTCAAACCCTCTTTGGCCATGTCCCTACTGTGTCCATCCCACAGGAACACAGTGCTTATGTTTTTGGAAACTGTCCCGTTCACAAGGCCCTGTACCTTAGAGTTAAGGACTCTTCAAAAACTGAGTCTGCAAGTCACATGTCTTCTAGTTTTTGCAACTGGCTTTAATGCCAAGAAATTTGAGGGCTTTCATTTCACCACTAGCTGAACTCTCCCTGCTCATAAAAGAGAACACTCATTAGGTGTGCAGTCACCAGCATTCCCCGCCCCCAGGGTTTCCCCTTCATTCAATTTCTGCATGGGTGGACACACAGGAATTAACCTGGGTATGATCTGAAATCAGCAAGGGTCAGGACACGCTGCTGCATCTCAGGGAATCGAGTGTGACCATGAAGAACTTTGTCCAGAAGTGACTGGAGGTAAAGCAGTAGAGGATGTCCCCTGGACTCATCCCTCTATGGCCAGGGATAACAATATCCAAGTTGCCTACCTTCCAGGGTCCAGTAAAGAGATGACTGGTTATGCACCACATCACCCTTTCCTGTCCAGATTCCTCACACTTTCCTGACCTGCACACATACAGAATGGACCTAGCAACACCCACTGTACCATCCGTTGCTTGGAGGATCCTAGGATCTAGTTTTGCTTGTAGGCACACCAACCTGTCTTCATCACCTATCTCTTTCCTGACAAATGATGATGATGCCATGGTGTTAAGAAGACCCAATCCTGAATAGTTCACAGAGCCCCAGCAATAAAGCTTCTGTGAAGCTCAGAAAACAAAGAGTTGTGGGCCAATGATACAGAGATTCAACCAAATACATATGGCAAGGTGTCTACCCTGGTAAAACAATTCTGCGCAGGCAGTTCAGTTGGGAAATGCTAGGTTTGCGTGGACAGTCTCAGTGTGTCTCTCCAAAGGTCTAAGGATCTAGCAAGCATAGCAATTTATGGATGAAACAAAATGCCACCTTTGGAGGCTTGGGTTTTGGTGCCACTTCTTTCATCAGGGTGAATTCTGTGTGAGCTCCAAGCTTACCTTACTTTATATGCAGTCTTCAATATATATCTTTCACTTCGGTATCTTAGCACAAGGAACCCAGTATCTGAAGTTCATAGACTCACATTCTTGGGGTTGTTTATAAAGAATTTTCTCTTCACAAGTGATGTTTAAGGTAAGTTTTTTTTTCTTTCTTTTTCTCTCTCTCCCCCACCCTCTCTCCCACTCCCTTCTTCTCTCTTAACCAATCCCTTAAGAAACCCTAAACCCACCATTTTTTCACAGTGGTTTCATTGTAATTACAGAATCATTTCCAAATATTTCATGAGTTGCTTCAGAACACTTTATTTCTAGTATTTTAAACTTAAACCCTTCACAATAAACTTTAGTATGATCCAGTCTTGCTTCTACTTGAAATTGTAGTGCTGTTCCAAAGGACAAACAAAATTTGCAGTTGGAACATCTATACATGTTTGTAGACTTTGTGTGAACTTCTCAAACATTTCCATACATTTAAAATTTTACAGGCAAATATGTAATTTCCTTAGCCTGATATATAGCTGGAAAATAGATACAACTGGGTATAAAAAGTTACATATGCTTCATGTTATAAAGACTTATTAATTACATGAACATGTTCCAATTCATTCACCAAGCAGGTATCTTGTGAGATTTCCTTGATAGGAAATGCTATTTCATGGAAACTTTGATCTCAAAAAGGTAGTAATATAGAAATATAATACCAACAGTTTATTTTTCATAAACATTAACAATTAATGGAATTACTGGTAGTGATTATCACCGGATCCTAAATTTTTACACAAGTTACCATGTGACCCGCAGCCCTCCAAAACCAACATATGTAATTTAGTGGTCTCCTGATAATATAGGCAAAGTAGTATCTAACTTCCATCTTGTTGGTACATGATTGGTACATGATTGACTGTTTAATACCTGCTTCGGTCTCCTTTTTCAGATGGCATCTCCCTATAACCTCCTCGGGACCCTCCACACCTTGAGCTAGTATATAATTCACGAGCAACAGGATATATTCTATCCATGGAAAATGGCATTCCTCGTTCTTGTCTACCTCTATGCTCCTGCCCACTTGAGTATGTACCACTCTGAATGCGTGAATAAATCTTTCTACATCCAGTGTATCTATCCCGTAAGTTAGAGCCATCATAGTGACTGCTTCCATCAAACGTCTGTGTTACTCCTCTGTTAGATGCTGCTCCACGGGAACGGGAACGCTCTGCAGGGAAAATGATAAACAGACAAAAAGTTTCATACATGGAATGTCTTTGTATCATTCTGTAACATTTAGGTATGAAACATCTGGGATATTTTACTTTATTTTCTGAAATTAAGCTGATATGACCTTCATACTGTTCCTGTGGTTCACCGTGTTGAAATACTCTTTCTTCTATGGTATTTTACATTCTTTGTAGTAGGAAAAAATAAACAGACTGCCTATTTACCCTAAACACCAAACATGTAAACTGGGAAAATTCTACCAACATCCTCTTACTAACAAAGAAGCTATGCTATATATATATATCCTTTATGAGTATAATGAGGGGTTCATTCCAGTCCATTCAGTCGAATTCTATTATATGCAAGGTAACAGTGAATGCATACCGTAACTCCCTTTCACATCTCTGTAAGTGCCTCCACTTGAGTATTCAGAATAATCTCTACCTCGTCTGCTGCCAACGCCTCCATGATCACTGAAAAGTCATTTATAAAAGGTTTTCAATTAACATGAGGATTAACAATTTCAACAACTTGCTTGACAAAGTTTTAAGAAGTTACCTATAGGCCTTAGAGGAATGTTCACTTGGAGAAAAGTAATGGCCACCATCGCGGTATTCACAGCCTCTAGATGGTGAAGCACGATCTTTGGTGTATCTAGATCTTGCATAGACTCTGCTGGAATATCTTAATTCACTAATTTAAAAAGCATGGCTTTTAATACTCAAAACTGCAGTTAACTCTTAAAATCGAATTTAAAATTGGTCAAACACTTCAACTGTGAAGTGTTTAAGATAATGACAAAATGTCTTTTCACATATAACAAATATCCATCAAATGATGCTCAGTTATAAGTTAAGAGGACTACAAAAAACACATATATACATTTGTATGCCTGTCAAAATTATATTTTTAACTGCAGCATAGCTCTTACATTAAAAATCTGGCCATCCTAACTGTATATGAGCATTATGCTATGGCTGGAAAAATCTCATATAGATTACTGGAGTAAAAGGCCATATTACATAGGAGGCTGGGTGACTCAATCATAAAATGGCTTAAGAATTGTGGAATACCATAATCTCATCTATACCTTGAAACTATTGTTGTAAGGAAGAGAAGACTCACAAAAATCATGTGAGACCTGCTGTAAATGGAACGTTGTTGCTTGGCTAGTAAAGGGATATTAGGGTATTGTATGAAATGCTTTAGAAATAGATAAAAGTGCTGAAAATTTTAGCTTTTGTTAAGACACTATCTCACTACGTGGCCCACACTGACCTTAAACTCTCTATGTAGCCGAGGCTGGCCTCGGAATTTTCAGTGCCCTTTCTGTCTCAGACTCCTATCTTCTGGGATTACATGAGCGTGCCACCATCCCCTGCTAAACGGTTTCAACTGTACACATTTCACTGTCACAAAAAAAATCAATTTTATTGTTATTCTCTTTTACCTGTTGTCAGTAGAATAACTTTTATGTCTTGGTGACACACATATATTTCTCCAAGAAGAGACAGGTTTTCTGCATTTCTCTCGTCTTCGTGATTCTGGATATTTGATTTTAAGGAGGTTATATAAGTACTTGAAGTTGAAATTCAAAACACTGAATGTATTCCTCTCTCATGTTTAAAAAAAAAAAAAAACTTGAACATTTACCTGACACAGAAAGTACATCAGCTGTTGATTAATAAACATGCCCATGCAATGTTTACTTTTCTGTCTATAATTATCAGGTTTCAAATAGCACAATTGCTAAGATAAGAAACTCATTTCATGCAGAAAAACCTGTCTTTTACATTAGGAATTACCTCGTCTTCCCACTCGATCAGTGCTTCTTGAAGGGGCAAAAGCAGCAGCTCTTTTAGAAGAAGGACTGCCACTTCGTGAAGAAGGACCTCTTTTAACTGAGAAGAGTCCCTCAAAAGAACTCGAGTTGCGATTATGATTATATCCTCCATCATCTATGGCAAAAAAAAAATTTTTCTAATTAACATTTTAAGGGGCCAAGTTTTAATTACTGATTGTGTACCTTTATTAGAAATCATGGTTCTTAACTGACTCATTCATCTAACTGCATGAAATCTAGCATTTCTTTACATCTTGCACATACTATTCAAACACTGCAAGCAAGAGTCAAATGTGAAAAATCTCGAAAAAAAATCTCTGTAAGCTTTTTATGGAGAACCACGTAAAAGGAGCAAACCTCTGCATATAAGTTTGTTACATTTAAAATCCAGAAAGAATAAAACAAGTATTTGAAGAAAGAGATTAACACTCCATAGTATCATATTTTCAAAACCCAATTATCACAGTATGTTTCATCTAATATATAGTTTCATCTAAATATAAAACCAAATTTTACTCAAAAATATCTAAAGGAGATGACACTGGAGAAAATGCATTAATGCTATGATGTATTAACCTACCATTTTCTCAGTCAACCAATGAAACACTATCAGTTTCAGTTATGCTCCCTTCTAACAGTATTTAAGAAACTTGTATTAAATGTAAATGAAATTGTCTTTTTCCTAACTGCACATATTGTTATATAGGTAGTAATGCCTTGGTTTCACAAATGCTTCAGTTGGCAAATCATTTGATTTGAAAGCAAAAGGCTTCAGCAAAACTGCTTACATTTGCAAATTCCATGGAGCATGACAGACACATTCATAGCCATCTTTCTCATACAAAACACAAATGCAACCATGTTTCCCAAAATCAGGAGAAACTAATTTAGAAACCAAGGCACCCTGACTTCTCTTCCCATCAGCATAATTACAGGTGCTTACAGATGATAAGTATAAGTTGATCAGCCTGACTCTAAATGAATGGCAACTTACTAGAAGAAATCAAAAAGTATCTTACAATACACACAACCCTGCAACTCTACCTTAGAAATTCCCTCCAAAGAATCAGGTGAATAGTTTGGTTGTTGAACTGATGAATTCTTCCCAAGTTCATGTGTAAGGTCTAAAAAGAACATACTTCTCCCATATATGATGGGAAACCTAAGAGCTGGTTCTGAGGCTCCAAAATTAACCTTATAAAATAATTTCCCAAAGACTTTACCAAGTTTCACAGTCATTTCACTTTTATAACTGTATTCTAGTTCCCCATTTTCAAACTTATCTTTACTGCTAGTATCATTAACTTCCTTTGGACTCCTGGTTACTGTATTTTAGGTAAACAAAGCACAACTAAAAGCAAAATAACAAATATTTTAATCCGCCAACACAAGCACTACTGACAGCAGCACTTAAGATTCAAAGGTTACTCGTTTGTATCCAAGACAAGACTCCATGCACCACTCATGCTTGGCATATGGCAGGCTTTTTCAAACAAAATTTTCACGTCACCTATGAACAAAGTTACACAGAGCGTTTTTTTTGTTTGTTTGTTTGTTTGTTTGTTTGTTTGTGTTTTGAACTTTGCTGTTCAACTAATGGCAAGTTAAAGCCTGGAGATGTTTGATAATCATGGTAAAACTGTATCGCAGTATTGCAACTGGCACCTAAATAGTTTACTACATTGAATAATCAAATGGATCATTAAAATCATGCAGATTAGTTAGAACTATTTTTTATGCATGGTACGAGGAGCTGAGAACAGGGCTTTCACACTAAACCAGCCATAAATGGACCCTCTATGCAGCCTCTTGCCCGAGTTTTTGTTTTTATTTTAAGAAACAGTGCTTTAAGCAGTTGCTCAGCATACACTTCTTTGATTTTGAGAGGTTGCTCAAGCAGAGTGCTGGGATTCTGACCCAGGACCACACCCAGCTTATTTCTATGGGCTTTTCATTTTAAAACAAAAAACAAAAAGCTGACATCTCTGAAAATAGTACTTTAAACTATTTTTAATGAGTTAACCTACTCTCAATCATAACAAAGATACACACACACATAAAGCAGTCACTATGAGGAGTAACATCTCTTTTAGAAACAAAAAAGAAAGTTTTGAAGTGGGAAAGACCTATACACTTCTAGGTCAAACACTCTTGTGGGCTAAGTCATGGAGTTCATAGGTTTCAGCCCAGAATGGGAATGTTGAGAACTTAACAAGTGCCTGTCTCAGAAATAATAATTAAAACCAGCTCAGAATATATCTCAGTCAGAAAGGCTTAAATTCATTTTCTAGTAACCCCCAAAGTACCTCAGTATTCTATGAATGCAAATATCATTTTAGCTGTTTAGCAGGGCACTCAGTACTACCTGAAATTTACTGTATTTCACAGCAAGATTCCTGAGGTTTTTACAATAATGGGGACATGTCATTCTTGCAATGCAGTTTAATGGTACTTAACAATATTACTCCTAGGAATGTTTTTTGGCTCCTAAGCTAACCAAATGGAAATAGACAAGATTCTGTCTGTTGAAATTCACTGACTTTCAGTCCCATGCAGTGTTATATTTTACAACCTTACCCAAGTGTCTTCCATGTGAAGGAGGCTGTCTCGCTCCATTATGTTTGCCTCTTCCACGCCTCGCTCTTCTCATACGGCGTCTGTTTCTCAAGAGAGCTGGTCGTCTTCGCTTTTTACCGCTTTCATAAGATGGCCTCTTTGCTTGTTCTACTGTAATTCTTTTTCCGTTCAAAGACTAAAATGATAAACTGTATTAGTCATGGTATTATCTCAAATTTAATTTAAAGGAATCTATTTCACGTGCCATTAACTTACATGCCATTAACAATTATAATCAAATTCTAAGTCAATCCTCCCTAAAGCATTTTCTCTTGTAATAATTATATGCTTTACAATCCCAAAGTACCATACACAACCAAATAAATTTCAGAAAAATATCACATACAAATTATGTCTATTATTACCATTTCCTTACATATTTGTAGACTTTAAGAACAGACTAACACATCAGAAGACATGTTAACAAGTCAGAGGTTGAGATACTGTGTAACACCTTCAGTATAAGCTGTGTAACTGATTGTGTCTTTCACTCTTTAAATATTCCAATGCCCCAAGCAATGCTGAAAAAATGAGCAGGTACTGAATTATCAAAGGCATTTATAACACTGAATAATCATGCTGGTCACTTTATATTATCTACTTTCCTGTTAAAATGAAAATGTCTTCCAATATAACTTATAGAATTTAATTTACTCCACGTCTAATGAAACATTATTTTGATTTTCTAAAAAGGGTCTTTGTTTCATCACCTGTAGTATTCGGTTTTCCATTTTTTCCCTGTCCTTATGTTTTTAAGAAAATCCCTGAAGTAACTTGTGGAATAGAACTTGGTATTCTTCTCTCTCACGTAGCTTAAAGGTGCCAGTCTCACAAAATCTCAAATAAATGATTTTCTGGAGGTAAAGGCAATTTTGAAAATACAGTTCACATCATTTTAACTCCTCTATAAAAAATATTGGTGACTTCTTAGTGCTTTTGACAGTTCCTAAATCTACCCCAATATATAAATATATTGCTAAATATATGCCCTCTTCCAATAAAAGTAGCCAGACAGCCTTTGTGCTGTTCCTAAAGCCCAAATATTTCCCTCAGATTTATGTGGTTTGCTTCCTTTCTAGCATGGGAAGAAGTTGATTCCTTGCCTTTTCTATCTAATAATATTGTTTACTCTCCCAGTAAGCTCTAACTAACCCAACAACTATTTCTTACTGTTCATATGCACAGGAAAATTTACTGAACTTTACTTTTACGTTTATTTAACTTCACCACAGAGCAAAACACCCAAGATAATATTTATTAGACCCATTCACATGCATTACTCCAGTTGCTCCATTAATGTCTGGCACATGATTTACAGTTATTAAAGTATGTGTTGGATGAAAAAAATTAGCAGTAATGCTCTCAAGTAGATTATCTTTAGCTAGACATTAGATAATGCGAAGGAAACATGAAGGTCTTCTTATAAATCAAACATACAATTAATACAAAACAGCCAGCCAACTGTAAAATACAGTTTCTGGTGCATCAAGAACTTAAATTTGCATGAAATAGCACAGTAAGTGGAAAGCACACTACAGCCTACAGCATGCTGAGCATAAAACAACTATGATAAACAACAGAAGTGAATAAACACTTGAAGAAACAGACACTTGGCTTCTGCGATTCAAGGGAAAACAGTGAGGCAGGTAAAGAGAAAATAACTACAGAGAAGTGATAAAACAGCAAGGATTAAAATAAATGTTAGTGTGTTGGGGAGCACTCAAGAGAATAAGAGAATCCCCCAAAATAAAGATATAATGCAAGAGAAAAATGAAGCCTAACAGAAACAATATTGTACTACAATGATCTGAACTTCAACATTGAACAATTTTGTGTTTAAGAAAGTCAGAAAAATGTAAAGGCTGTCACAGACTGGTAATTTCAGTCATTTGAAGTTCAGAACGACAGAGATTACTGTATCAAAATTAAAGTTTCACTCAGAAATATACAATGAACCATCAGGTAGCCATTTATACAAAAATTGGTCTGATTTCACTATTCCAACTTTATAAGGATGGAAGAGCAGTACTGGGACTGAGTCCAAGTACTTACTCTGATGTGCCTTCATCAATTTGTCCAGGTCATTATTTTGTCTACAACTGAATATGCATCTCAATTTGAATCTTGATCAAATACAACTTTTTCAGGTATATTTTCTCCACAATGAAAGATACTAAAGTGTTTTTTTTTTTTTAATCTCTAAAGAGCCTTCTTAGGCTCTTAGCCCACAAAGAGTTTCATATATACACTGTGTTTTCTCTAAAAATACTGGCCTGTGCTTAATTTTAAAATGGAGATTTTCAAATTTTCAGTGTTTTTCAAGACTAAGAAGTACTCCAGAATATCACACAAAGGAGACTTAATGCATGTTACGAATATGTTCATTTCAATCAGACTTTTGAGCAATCGTGTGACAAAATGTAGGCAGTGGCTAGAGAATTTTGCCTCGTGTGTCATTATATGCCTTAATCACAGGAGAAAAAGTCTATAACCTCTTGTCTGCTGAATATAACTAGGATATTATTCATAGATCGTTACCTTTCCATTCATCTCCTTGGCAGCAGCCTTCGCATCTACAGGTCTTTCAAAGATAATAAAAGCAAAGCCTCTGGACTTCCTGGTTTCCCGATCCTTTATCAAAAGAACTGTGATGAAGAAGAAACTCATTCATTTTACGCTACATGGCATCTAACATTCGACTTTTGCATATTTTCAAAATAATCAGTGTTTTTGTAATTTCTCCTAAGAACACCTAATTTGGTTTGATGGAAAAGGAACAGAATCAATTTCTTTAAAATAAAATCACCGAATTTGTAGCTCATCTTAGTACACTATTCTAAATATCAGCAACAGATAAAAAATACAGTGTGTCCACCTCATCCTAGCCCAGCAGCCCTTTATTGTTATTTGCTCACTATCAGTAGCAGACGCTTACAGAAAACTGTCACGTGCTATAATCAATTACCACTTCCCTAAAAAGAAACTTCACAAAGTGTAGATGTTTCAACCTAAGCATTGTATGTCAGCTTTCCAAGACTATACTTAATACATGTTATGGTATGTTTATGGTATGGTATACTTAATACATGTTTATGGTATACTTAATGCATGCATGCGTGCAGATGTGCACCAAGTTACCTCGTGATATGCGTCCAAATGATCGAAATACCGCTTTAAGAGTATTTTCATCAGTCTCTGTGTTGAGGCCTCCTATGAAGAGTTTCCGAAGCCTTTCAGTTTCCATCATTTTTCTGTAAGTGGGTAAAGGGATCAGTTTTTATTATAAAGCACTTACAAGTGATGAACAACCCTACCCAGGCGACTATCGTTAGTGTACATCAAGAATCAAACTTGTCATGGTGCACCAAAGGCTGTATAGCTGCAGCACACAGCAAGTATTAAACTCGAAGCAACTGCCCACAGCTCACAGAACTGGTTTACAGCGACTAGAACCTGATAGCAGCTCACAATGAGCACTGCAACAGAATTAAGTCCAACAAACGTTGCAGCAGACCAAGACCAATAACAGAGCGGCACTGAGGATTGGAGGCAAGTGTACAGCTTTATTTAGGCCTCTGGGCTTGATTGGGGTGCATCAGCAAAGAGACAAGCCCCTAACTCCCAGAGAACAGCATTTTTATATGATTTGCATTCGAGGGTCTGTTCAAAAACACAGCGCCTACCACCAGTTGAATGGTCAGAAAGTTACAGTGAATTCCACCTTCTTTAATAGGGCTAGGGAATAGTTAGAGGTACACTGTTAGGCCAAGACCTTTACACAGAGTAACACCTTCTATGCATAGGCCTGCAATGTAAGTGCAGGGAGGATGGAGGGGGTAACAGGGGGATGAGGCAAAGGTCACATCATCCTAGGGAAACAGAAATTCAACAAGGAACAATGTCTTACAAAAGGCCGGGAAGATGAATGCTGAAGGGCGCAGCCTGGACATAAGTGTTTTCTTCCTCTTTAACAACATGTCTCAAATAATTAAAAAGTCCTGTTTTTTAGCCTCTCTCTGATTCAAATTCTATGTAAAATTACAACGAGAAAGGCCAATGCAGTTCTAATTAAAATTAAATAAAATTGAATCCCTTTTTAATTCTATTTAAATTAAGAAAAAGATAAACTTACAGGGCAGCGTGTACTGTATTTGTCGAAAAATGCGTATTTTGAAGGTATCAATAGAGAAAGGATTAAATCTAACCAAGTATGTCCAATACCTCTACACATTTTTTCAGCACCCTTTGAAGAAAACTGTACTCTTTTGGAAACACGAAAATGAAGTTTTATTTTTTGGAGGCGGCTAGTAGTGAACCGCGCACCTTCATGATAAACTACACACCCAGGTTCCCAAGCCGCCTTTCTTTGAGACACAATTCTACTATGTAGGGTGTTTACACCAAAACATAAAAATTCTGCACACGTCCAAAAATGAGGCAAAACGTGCACAGAATGAATACCTTAAAACAGTTCGTATTTGCCCATATTTATTCCCGTGTATCAGCTACCCACAAAACACTTGCATGTAACTTAATGCTCTCCTCACAACCTGTTAAAACGGTACAAATGGCCACAGCAAAAGGAGAACTTCAGCTTTCTCGAGCCAAATTCAACTGTGACGTCTGTCGCAGGTTTTAACAAGCAAGCGTTAAACTGACGTCATTTACGACAAATGCCAATGCGTCCGCGATTTCCATCGAGGAAGCCTGAACTGTGATTATCAGAAGATGCACGGGGGAAGCCTTTCATCACAGAATTGAAGACGCTTGCCTTAATTTTCCAGTCAGGAGTGCATTCCCCTAAGCAAAGCAAACCGTTAAGGGGCACACAGTGTTGGCGGGGGTCACTGGGGTGTGCGGCGGTTAGAGACAAAATGGCGTCCTCGCACTACTTCAGTGATTACCCGCCTACCCCGACTAAGCCAAGCAGCAGCAACAAGGACGTTCAGACTACAACACTGCCTTCTACACCGAGGACCAGTTCTTTCCCCTGCTTGTCCTTCCCCAAAACCAACAGCCGCCCACCGTAAAACCACGACGGACAGAAGCAGGTACTTCGTACTTTCCAGAACCCACACTACGGGTAGGGTTAAAACCCTGAAGCCCAACCCTTTGCAAACAATCCCAAAAACGTTTACCCGTGACCGTGACCGTGACCTACTTATCTAGCCTTTTCTTAAAGCTAGAAACACATAAATTACGCTATGTAGACGTCCTTTCAGGTGTCCCTAGCTATGGGATCGCCTGAGACTATCACCCTGTCTTTCGGGATCAAAATTCCCAACTCCGTACCTCTGTTTACCGTTTCCAGAGACTCTTCCGGACTCCTCGCAGGAGAGAAACAGCCTTGGGACTGGCACCGCTAGCAACTAAAAGACTAAAGAACCCGGATGTCATTCTGCCCAAGCCGCAGAGGACTTAGGGAACGTGGGGCACTGAAAAGAAACTGAGTAACCCAGGACCTGTCCAGTTGGCCTGAAGAGAAAACTGATGTGCCAGAACTGTTGCCTCCTGTCTTCCTATGGTTTTCTTTATCCAGCTATCTCAGTATGACCAAGATTGATGAAAAACCAAGGCTTACGAGCCGGTATCCATCCGCACTTTTAGCCCTTTCCGCCAAGTTGGCAATCTACTCTCACAGACGAAGAATATAATGAAGTTTTAAATGTACACAGACTAGGTGAATGTAAATAAAAGTACGGCGGGGAGGGGGGGCCGGCTAAAAACAGAGGAGGGGTCAAGGGTCTGGCTCAGTGGTAAAGTTCTTAATTGCTTGCACAAGGTCCAGGGCTTCTATCTCCAGCCCCACTCACAGACACACAGCTCACCCACAGGTGGCGCCACACACGCGCACAGCACACAGACACACACAGCACACGGTGCCACGCACACGTACCCATGCACGCACACACACAAGACACTGAACCCCATCAAATTTCTTCACTGAGTCGGCAGTAGTACTGCTTTGGCCCAAACTCAACAGATCACAAAAAAAGAATAAGCTTTAAATTTCTCTCTCCTTTGCTGTGCAACAAGCATGAAAACAGGCCTGAATGTGCTAAATTAAATACATTCTAGGTGGAATACTGATGATCCACTTGCCTGGTATTACTGTACCTTGCTTCTTATGAACTGGCTTGAAATGAACCTATACTAAATTTACCTCAACTTCAAAGGCTTCTGCTTTCCTGTCTGTCTCTGTATGTCTCGCTGTCTCTGTCTGTCTCTCTTTCTGTCTGTCTGTCTGTCTGTGTCTCTGTCTGTGTCTCTGTCCCCGCCACCCCCCTCGCCTCTCTCTCTCTCTCTCTCTGTAATAATGGGTACAAGATAATGCCATGGCCTGGGACTTGGTATCCAGATTTTTGTCCTATTTTGAACAGATAAGTTTTGTTTCATTTATGTTCTTACCGGATGTCTGATTTTTTTAAGGTTTAACAACAAAAAATAACAAGCACTATATTTGAATAATATCACGATAAACAATATATGTATAGATTTAGTATATCAGAGAACTCACAAGGGAAAACCAGTCATGAAAATAACACTTGCTTGTTTACAAGAGGTATGAAACCATCTCAGATCCTAGAAAAACAGATTTTTACGGTATTTGTTTTCCTTTCTGCGGTAATGGGGATTGAATGCACAACATCACACAGAAAAAAAGATCCCCATCTCTCTCTCTCTTTTTTTTTTTTTTTTTTTTAAATTTTGTGACTGGGTCTAAGTCACTAAGATACTCAGGCCAAGACTTAATTTGTGATCATCCTGCCTCAGCATCCCTGTAAATAACACTGGCTGCATCATTGCCAAGCAGCCATGTAGCTAAATCTGTTTACTCTCTTTCAGACTATTGCCTTTATGCTATTTTGAAAACAAAAGAAGCAAACAAACAAGAAAAGGTTGGGGGAAGCTCAAGTACAGAGCTGAAGCTTACCCACAGCCTTGTAATCTATAGCTAGAAAAATTGGTATTCATAACAAATCATCTCTTCTTGGAATCTTGGTAAAAGAAAACCAACTCATACAAAGACAAGTGGTCGAGCCCTCTTGTAGAAGTGCTCACTGTGAGTTCAATGCTGAGTGACTGGAGCTGAGCTCATGTCAAATTTCTGTGACTTCTTCTTACTAAGTACTGGAAAGGATCCTTGGAAATCCTCAAGCATAGCAATGGAGACAGTGAACTTTGAGGATGCTGCTGTGAAATTCACCCCAGAAAAGTGGGATTTGCTGACTCCATCCCAAAAGAAGCTCTACAGAGGAGTGATGTGGGAAACATATATGAGTATTACTGCAACAGGAAGAATATGGAATAATCAGCAAATTAAGGAAGAGGACAAAAATTGCTCAAGAAATCTAAGATGTGATGAAGACAACTATTTGAGAATTGAAGAGCAGCAATATAAATGTAATGAAGATGCAGAGACCTGCAGTGATTTCCAGTCCTGGAAGCATGAAATGAGGAAGACTGCACAGAGACTCTGTCAATATGCGCAATAGGAGGAGGACAGATCTGATCTTAGTGAAAAAACTCACCCTGGGCAGAAAATCTTTGTAGGTAACAAAAGTGTGAAAGCCCACCCAACATCTAACAGTGTTCAAACCATAGTTTGGGAAACTCGTATGTACAAAAACACCATGAGAATAATTCTATTTCTTCATCCAATATTGAAAAACATGTTAGAAAATATGGTACAGAGAAACATCATATAACTGAAAAATGTGCCAAAGCATTATCTCACAGTAACGTCTTTAAAAAACATAAGAAACTTCACACTGGAAAGCGACCATATAAATTCAAGCAATGTGGGACAGCATTCAGTAAACTCAGGGGCTGTCAAAGAAGTAAAAACATTCACACTGGGGAGGAACACTTTGCATGCAATAAATGTGACAAAGCATTCAGTACAGCCTCTGCTTGTAAAGCACATGATAGAACTCACTCTGGGGAGAAACCCTTTGTGTGTAAGCAGTGTGGGAAATCTTTCAGTCAAAAAGGTAGCCTTATTAGACATGAAAGAATTCACACTGGGGAGACGCCCTATGTATGCAACAATTGGGGGAAAGCATTCAGTCAAAATGGTCACCTCATCACACATGAAAGAATTCACATTGGGGAGAAACCCTTTGTATATAAGCAATGTGGGAAATCTTTCAGTCAAAAAAGTGGCCTTATTACACATAAAAGAATTCACCCTGGGGAGAAGCCCTATGTATGCAACAAATGTGGGAAAGCATTTAGTACAGCCTC